AACAACAATGACATCAATAACAACAATAAAACAAATATACAATCTTTACGCTTTACGTGCAGACGCCTTTTTAATTCACTCGCACTCAAACAACACAAGGTTAAATAATATTTTTAGCGCGAAATAATTTATTTGTTTTTTTTCCTTTTTCCTCGTATGCTTTCTGTCTGAGTTCACACGAGCAAGTGCTAACAACAACATCAGATCACCAATGCTTCATCAGTGCTAGAAGGAAAACTTGAAAATTATAAAAATCGCTTTTGAAGATATCTGAAGATGGGACGGTGCGTTTGCAAATGAATGGCGAAGACCAAAAAAATAAATAAGGGCAGATTTTTATGTCTGTGACGTCATTAACGTCATTTGATTAATTAACGCGATAATGATGATGAGGAGGAAGATGTTGAATATGTGTGATATAATACTGTTTGTTATCAGTGCATACACATTCATATCATCTCGAAAGATTTGTCTTTGTGCGTGCGTCGGTAAAACTTTTTTTATGTATACACGATATTAATTAAAAAATATTCTGGTAAATACTTTTTAGAATTGTAAAAAAAATGCAACAAAACATTTTTGTGCATATCTGGAAAATTTGTATGTTGCATCAGCCAGCTAGTCAGCATGACTCGCTGAATCCGGGCCTCAGAAACAGTTCAAAGCATTTCAGCGCATTCAATCATCTTTTCAAACGTTTATGCAATAAATCATTCAATCAATTATTTAACCAATCATTCATTCAATCAGTCATTCAATCAATCAGTCATTCAATCAATCAATCATTCAACCAATCAACGGAATTTACAATCATGCTATTATTGTAACGCCCACATTTTTTTCAAAGTTGAAAAATAAATACATGTTTCATGCCAAAATATGTGCAAAGCAATGCATCGTCAAATGAAACTTATTAATATTACGTAAATGTGTTGAATGGTGTATCAGCGATTTTTCCTGCGTTCGAACGAGGACAAAAAGGCATCCAGGTTTGTTTATAAAATCTCGTAGCTATATTGCCTACGTCAGTAACTTGCAATCATTGTCGGTAATATAACAATATAACTGCAACTGGATATCAACAAGTTTATTTAAATGCATCTGCCTTATAATTATTATACTGAGGAAGATGATGGTGATGATAAAGATGATGAGGATGAGGGAGAATAAAGATGATGATTAAGTAGCTATAAATCAACCACTTCAACCAAATACCTTCTCACAGCTGGCGAGAACCGCAAAGATGGATGGATTCTTACCCAATCGAGATACTCAACTGCACTGGATAATATTGACCGAAACAATAACGACGACACCACAACAACAACAACAATAATAATAATAATAATATTATTATCATTATTATTATGAAACAATAAAAAATATTAATGATAATAAAAAAACTCTTTTATTGTCACGATAAATTAATAATAAATTGCATAAATAAGATTAAGACTAAATAGGATCGTCGTCTATTAATCGCCTCTTTTATTGTCACGATAAATTAATGATAAATTGCATAAATAAGATTAAGACTAAATAGGATCGTCGTCTATGGCAAGTGCCGAAAGAAATGATATTTAAATGGGTATAAATTATTAAAAATGATAATAATTGTTATTATTATTATTAACCAGATTAACTCCAACATCATCATTTGTTTCTTTGATAATTTCATACACCATCATCTATATCATCATCACCACCATCATCTGCATTCATCATCATCTTCATCATCATCTGCATTCATCATCATCACCATCGTCATCATCATCATAAATATATCTCCCACTGCCTAATGATGTCTTTTTAATATTGTAAATATGACCGCCATTATAAATATGACCGTCGTTATCGTCACTATCGCTAATTCGAACATAATCATTACCATCATCGTCAAACAATCAGCATCATCACCAGCATCATCACCAATATTAAAAACCTCTAGGCCGCTCCTGTTACAGATATTCAGAATATCCAATGCATTCGTTTAGACATACCGATAATATACATTTCAAGATATGAAAATAAAAACCAACTGGCAACAACATACAGTCATCAATATTCAAATACCAACATACGAATATTAACATACGAACATCGACATACAAACAACAACATGCATACATTAAAATACAAACATCAACATACAAATATCAACGTACAGACAACAACTAAGAGAAATCAACATATAAACATCATCATATAAACATCAACATACAACAGACAAACATTAACATACAAACATCAACATACAAACATCAATATACAAACATCAACAGACAAACAACAACATACAAACATCAACATATAAACATCAACATACAACAGACAAACATCAACAGACAAACAACAACATACAAACATCAACATATAAACATCAACATACAACAGACAAATATTAACATACAAACATCAACATACAAAAATCAATATACAAAACATCAACATACAAACACCAACAAACAAACATCATTATATACTCGTGTACAAACGTTCTGCATTCAATTTTAATAGGAATATTATGTCGCAATATTGACGTGTTTCCTGTTTTTATTCCAATATTTTCTGCACGTGCGTGAAATAAAAAAATTTTTTGCTGTTAAATAAAACAAGATTATTGAACGTTTTTTTCATAATGAATAAAACGTGTTTGTGTTGCTCAAACATCTTATCATCAGAATCTTTTTCATCATCATCAAGTTCATCTTCATCATCATCAGTTTCATCATCATATTCACAACATTCGGATTTTCAATTGCTGGACAAAAAATTAAATGAAAAACGCAACGCAGAATGAAAATTAAAATGCTGGCTGGAGCAATTCATCAACTCGTTTTTTGTATCGATTCACCTTTGATATTTCATAACAGCAAACAACATCTTACACGTTTAAAATATAATTATAACTGGCCGATACATTGAAAGTTCATTTTAAAAAACTAAAAACGAAAATATTTAAAGATTAGATGAACTTCCACTATTTTATGATCATTGCCCCACTATTCTGCGTTTTCGTTTTCCAGCCTTCTCCACGGTGCATGTATTTCATCGCGGGAGGGAAAGAAGCTTTCTTCATTGCAACTTGAATCAATTCTATTCAATTTCGTATATGTGTTGGATTTTTGCTAAAATGTCTCTTCAACAAACTTGAAATCTTGTACAAGTTTTTACAGGTTTCACACAACAAAGTTTTCTCAACCGAATGTTTTTCCAAGTGTCTGTTGAGCTTCATTGACCTGTTAACACAAACGTACTTACAATTTGGTCTTTTAAGTTTTTCTGTATCTCCGTGCTTCGTCAGCATGTGGCACTTCAGATGGTGGCTGGCGCAGCCCAAGAAGCCACAGCCGTCTACTACTCACTATTTTATTGTTTGCGTTTTTATTAATCCAGAATGTCTTTGCTACTTTCAAATTTGATAAATTATAAATTATCCATGATAGCTTAAAAATTGTTTATTTATTGAAGAAGAGAACGACAAATTACTCAAACAGCTCCAAGCAGTCCAAGCATTCTCACTTGTCCGTATTGTGTTGATTTGCTTACAATGCTTTTTAAGAAAGTAAAAAATATAGATAGTACTATTTTGTGCTCCATAGAACAAGTTTATCATCGTCATTTCCATATTGCAAATCAAAACTCAGGCAATGGTGCGAGTTAGATGTCAACTCTAAGCAGCTCAAAAATGTCTCTGACGGCGTTTCAAAACGAGATGCTTAACAATTTTTTTTCAACTTCATTTCAACAAAAATTTATTTTTGTCTAGAGAAATTTATTTTATGTTATTAAAAAACTTTAGCAATAATTAGAAAATTTCAAAAAATGTATCCAACATTATTACCCGACTAACTTTTCGTCAGAAACAGCCAACCAGAGAGCAAGGAAGTGCATCACGTGACATTTGCGGAACACACGGACCAATACGTTATCAACTCAGACAGTGGTATATTTATATCAAATGACGTACACGTTGACGTCACAGAGGTGCTTCCTGATGCCGGTGCTGATGTCAAGTTGGGGAAACCCGGAAGACCAATCATCAAATTGCAGAAATGTGTCAGGTTGGTCTTTTAAAGTTGCGCCAGTTAATTTAAATGATTACAAAAGTTTTTTAGACGCTCAATAAATCATAAAATTTTAGTTATTCAATTATTGGTTTGTTGAAAAAATAATTTATTAAAGTCATACGACAAATGCACAATCCAGATATAAATCAGAGCCGAACAGCTAAATTTAAATGATTACAGCACGAATGTCACTATCGATATAACAATATGTGAAACTTTGTAAATAATTTGAATATCATTAAGAATTTGTTAAACTCTGTAATATAATACCTACAGCTTGTTTAAAGTATTGAAAAGGATAGGGAAAACTTTATTTTGCCAATGTTTCAGTGATTTAGTATGACTTAGTTAGCCTGATATATCACGTTACTTTGGTTTTATAACATCCGTCAAAGGAACGAACTGTTTGCATAACTCTTGTCCTAGACATATAATTGTTCCAACTGCATAATTTCAACACCTCTTACGGTTTGGTTAAGGATGTGATCACTGTTTTTCGATGTTTTACCATTATTTATGATTAAGATAATTAACCAAATAGTAATCAAATAATTTATGCATTATAAAATGATAGCTTGACAAACTTGTTACATAGCATCGAAAGTCAGGACAATCCGTTTTTAATGGACGGAGAGCTGAGCAGGAAGGCTGACTACATCATCAACAACTCCACCATCTCGAGGAAGAGGATCCGCATTTCCGATCCCGACTTTGAAACAAAAAATAAATCAAACAACAACAAAGACACAAAAAACACAATAAATGCTGACGCGCACAACAACATCGACTGCAACATTGCACAAGACAGCAAAACAGAGAACAACGTATCAGCGCCAGCCAGCGATGGCGTTCATCATGTCGATCAACCTCTCTCTAAACAAGAGTCCATGGAAGGTATCCTCATCCATTTGAACGGAATGACGGAAATGATTATAAATGAAGGATCAACTGACCACAATTTAAATTTTAACGACAAAAACTCCCGCGTGTACATAGAGAAAAAAGAAATTATTGATGTGGATGATGATGATGACATCGATGATGAAGAGGATAGTGACGAAGACGATGACTGTGATGAAATTTACGTAGAAAGTAAACACCCTCAAAATTCTTATCACTTGACTTGCCTAAAAATCGATCAACCTGTTTCTAGCATTTGTGCTAACGAAAGAAACAGTCAACCATCTCGCACGGTTATAACGTACGACGAATTAAAGTGTGATGAGGACATACAAGATCAAACGACCACGTTCGACAACTCTGTAAACAATCTTGCATGCAGTAGTGTTCATAAAAATAGATCAACAACCATTATCAACATGCCAACCAACAACGTCAACATTCTAAGCAACCCAATTAAATGTGATGTCACAAACGAAAGCAAAACATCAATCATATCAAACAAACTGATTTTCAACCAAACGGTAGAAGATACGGTCGATGATTCACTTGAAACATCTATAACCAGACCATTGCTGACACACGAACTCACTACCATTGAGATTCACCACAACAACATCAACAACAACAACAACAATATCAACAACAACATCATCAACACGAACAACATAAATGATACCCACAGAAACAACTCCAACTCCAACAACAACAACAACGACGACGACAAACAAAACAACAGTAAAAGTGTGGCTGGCTGCGGCGACGAGGATCGTTACGAGATTCTGCATCCATCGAATCAGAGAGGGAAACAGCGACACGCGGTCCCGCACGCAGATGGGAGCGCTTGCAAGAAGAAGAAGAAATGCTGCTCACTCCAGTGAACGCCCTCCAAAAGCTGTTTCCACCCACAACAAATTTTTCTCATGTAGGCCGCCTAATGTTTTCCCTTCTCTAGGGTGTAAATTAAATTTTCCCCTGGTACATGGTACGTAATAATCTTTTTTCTATGAATGCCGGAAGTTCGTTTAGGGTACATTTTTTGAATGGCAGTCCCTTCCACTAGGCTAGCAAAACAAGTTCACAGAAACAATAAGTCCATCTAGGTATTTTTTTTTTGAGTCCTTCTGTCATCGTCACGGGTTGACCTTGACTCTTCGGCTACTTCCGGTAAATCGTTTTACAGTAAGTTTCTTCAGCGTCCTCTGTCTGACGCCAGACCTACTCACGTTCTCCGGTCTATTTTGAATTCGGCCATTAATCTTTTGCGGACGTCTTTGTAACGAACATCTTTGCATGTCTATAAATTTAATGCTTACATGTTACATTATTCATTCATTTATTTTTTAATTAATTTACATTGCACGCATAGAAATTGAACTGAGGGAGCTCATCACTGTACATAGCTGTGCGCTTATTAAAGTTACAGGCTAATAATTTAAATGCTAACAGGCTCAATCGGTGATTTTTTGTTTCGCCCAACGTGAATGCTTCCGACTGCAACTTCATGAGTGCTACTTTAGTGCTGTACTACTTCCAGCCTCTTTTTTGACTAAACATTATTTTTGATGCGTTAAGATGACACCTGTAGAAGTGGATGTTCATATTTGCTTAGAAATCGCTTCCGTTATTACTTTCGTTGTTGCCGTAGTAAGAAACTGGCACGACTACATCTAACAAATTTGACGTATCTGCATGCTAGCAGTGATCTGCGAAACCGCAATTGTGATGCTTGTAAACTAGGAATATTTTTGGCTGAAAATTACTATTTATTTCATCATCATCTTCTTCAAACAAACATTTTGCAAATATTTACTTAAATGGAGGGAGACCAGTTTATTACTTTGAAATATTAATGTTTAAAAACAAATTTTTCATTTTAACATTAAATGAACCTAAATTCCTTTTTTGTAATTAAGGCCCGAAAAGAATTTATTTGAAGTCATGAAGGGGAAGAAATCACATGCAAACAAACATTGCAATCGACAAATATCAATTGTCTCACTTTGATATTAAATAATTCAGTCAAATAATTCAGATCAATTTTTGGCTACCGAGTTATTTATACTGGCACATCTGGAGATCCGTCCTAAATGTTAGATGAATATGCCTGACCTTAACCCAAAATTTTTTGCATCTTGCATCAGTTTTATTCAAATGGTCAAAACAAATGTTGTTATAATTGATATTTTTAAAATTTGTTGCAAACCTGTCACTCACGTATGATTTCCGACTTGACCACTATATTTATAATTTAAAATACGACACGAATTGTTTCGAAAGTAATGTAATTTTTCATTGCTAAATTATTGTTCAATTTAGTCTGAAATATTTAAAAAAAATTTGCTCATAATCCCAGATATGTGCAGATATGTTACAACCTATATAATCATTGTCATAATGTGTAAATTGTGTATATAAATTTTTCATGTATTTCCCATGGAAATTTTTGGGAACATTTTTAACAGTTGAAGCCGTGCTGCGGTGACAGCTTATTTCGATCACAGTCCATCTTGAATTCCTAGCATTTTAAGATTTGTCGAATGTAACTGAATGCTTCACTTACCAATGATTGTATAGAAACTTAACTTTAATTTTATATTTGTTCAATTTTTAGATGAATTCATGCTTGCACGATTGAAAAATACATGTAAATGTAAATTACATTTTTCGCCAATTTATTTGCAACTTAATTATGATTTAATTTTTTCAACATATTTCACCTTAAAAGTATCCCCTTCATTGTATGTCAAAACAACAAACACGCAAGTTTCATTTGTTATAATTAATATTAATTTCAAATTATATTTTTTAATTGAAGCCCTGTTTTAACTTTTGGAAAACTTCAAAATGTTTTGTTTGCATGAAACTTTTGGACCAATTTTTCGTTTTTTTTATTATTTCTATATAAAAATTGAACTCACTTCGCCTAACAAAATTTTCGAATTAAACAACTGTTTAATGAAAATATTTTAAATTTATACCATTGCTCATAACGTCAGTAAAGAATTACGACCACTAAATTGCTAGGCTTTATCTAACGATGATGTGTTAATCTAAATATTACACATAAAATTTACATTTTGAACATAATAATAGTAATGATAATAATAATAATTATTATTATTATTGTATGGAGTGCTTGACTCTCAAATGATAAATTTTAATTAAAAGATGATAATATACCGCAGTTGATAATAGTAACGAAACAATAAAATTGATAATATTATTATTAATAATAATATTAATAACATAACAATAAAATTAATAATATAATATTATTATTATTATTAGAAATAACAATAGCAATAACAATTTTAATAATAATAATTAGATTAAAAAAAGCGTTACTATCACGAACTAAGAGATAATAATGTTAACGTTATAATAGTTGTTCGTCATAGAATAAAATTGTCACAGAAGTTTTAATAATGACCATGTCTTATGTCATTTCCACCCTTGTGAAATGCAATTCTTAACGCTTTCAGAACGACTAAAAAACTGTTGAACCTGAAGAACAAAGTTATAGGAAGTATGAAACTATTTATTATATTCCAAAGATCTTTACCAAAAAATTCAGAATCATAATAAACGCTTCCATTGTTGTATGTTGTGGCAAAACTGTTCACCAGCCACAAGGTGGCGTTGCTGACGGAAACATGAACGAGAACAGCTTGGAAGTGCATGGATTTCGGTCTTTTCTTTCCATTTGGGTGCACGGCCGACACGCGACCCGCGAAAAAGCAAAACGGAATTTGGATGTACACTTGTAAGATGTTAACGACCTGGACAACAACAGAACCAATCGCATTCATGCCGTACAAAACGAGAATAGAAGGTTTGTTGTACGCTGCCACCAATGAGAAGACGTTGTATGCAAACGGGCCTGATGCACTGATGAAAAGTAGATAGTCAAGGCCTTGAAAAGTGTTGATAATGTTGGATCGCCTCAAAGGGAAATCTTTGGCTACTGTGAAACCGTAGATTACGGAAATTATAATAGACCCGTAAAACGGTATGGTATAGTATAAAAATAGTCTATTAATAACGTCATGCTTGACTTCAGCTGACAAATCATTCTTTTGAATTGCTCCCGGTAACAATGAGAAAATGAAAAACAAAACATTAGTTGATATGGTGAAAAGAAAAAATAAGGCACAACCCAGTGATCCAACCATTTTACGGTCGGAATCAGAAATGTTTTTGGAGAGACGCCGCTTTGAATGTTTCCCTGTCAGTTGCCCATCATTTCTTCTGCTTTCATTATTTGCCTCTTCATTATCTGCGACAATAATTTGCTGGCTGTTGTCTCTAGTAGCAGAATCAAACATTTCTGAGCATGAAGAATTTTGAGCTTCAGCGGTGTTTGAGTTGTCAGCCCTTGAATGAAAATCCATCTTTTCACGACTAACTTCGGAGTGGATGCAGCTTTTCACATATACCTGTTGATTAATATTTTTACTACTAGTGTCATTGTTATTATTGGCCTCTTGGTTTATATCCGAGATATCATGAAAAGAATGATCGTCTAAATCGCTTTCATCTGTTATAACTTCTTCATCTTCAAGTTCATTTTCATCTTCCGCGCTTGAAAATTCTTTATTGTCCAATTCACATTCATCATTTGATGAATCTACTAAATAAAAGCTCCCATTGTTTTCATTAATTGGCTCAGAAAGATGGTCAGATTTAATCGTAATTTCGTTGTTTTCGTTGACACCCAAAACGTTTGTTACGTTGTCGTCTTCAACTTTCGTTTCCTCGTCAACACTTGGTTGATTTGGTTGTTTCAACGCACGTTTGAAACTCGTCCTTACAGACATTCTTTTGCAATGACAAAACCAATGCATGAAACGTTCACAGAGGAGAACACATGATTCGTACATGAAGGGGTAGCAAAGAGGAACCACCGACACATTCAGAAATCTGGAAACACATAAAACATTTTTGTGAAAAACAGTTGGATCGAAAATCTATTTTCTGTGACAAAATTTTAGCTATTTAAAAGTCAAACTAACTTGAAAATATTTGTTTCCTCTCCGAAGCACTGGATGGTAAAGTTATGTGACTGCATGTCGGTGCTGTCATTTCGCTGTAAACATCTTAATTGGAATTGGTATAAAATGTATCAGCAAAAAAAGTTATCGTTGGTTATAGTTTTTTTTTATTAATAATTAATTTGTAAGTCTAAAAAAACCTGATAATTATAATTTCATTGTCAATGATTGCACTGGACGAAGAATTGTTGATGATGCGAGCGGATTCATGCAAGAGGACATCGAACCACAGAGCCAAGTTAACTCCAAACAAGACTGCCAAACTGTAACGAACCCAACACTTACTGGCGAAGATGAACGAACGATAAACTATCGCAAAAAATGTTGAACATCCGAAAAATACAATGCGCGTAATATGAAATATAACGTCAACGATGAATGTAACTTTAACGTTATATTTACAGGCCATCCAAACAGGACTGCAATCTACCTTAGCCATGAGGTGCACAAAATCCATGACGAAGGATAATGTATAAAACAGAACCAATCCGGCAACAAATAATATCCTATCAGCACCTCCGCAAGCGTCAAATTTTCTTTTGCGCGTAAGTCTTTCGTACGATTGAGCATCAAGGGCATCCTTACTTCTAACGAAAAAAAATATGAAAATTAAGCCGCAAATCATGAGTAGGATGAGAATAATTTCAGGAATAACAAAATCTTCGTAGGCATCCTGCAAGGACTGCAGCGTGATGTACGGAGTTAACGTGCTGACCAAAGCGACGGTAGCTAAGGCAACGACAAGATCAACGGAAGCAACTAAACCATCGTACGTTCGCTTCGGGTGTTCAGCAGATTCATTAACTTCGTCGACCCTTTCGTGATTTCGTAATCTGTTTTCAGTTTTTTCGACCGTGTAGTCACCGTACGTAAGGAAGACAAGAGGCCAGTGTCTGTTTGACGTCATGTTTTAATCAAAGACTGAAGAGAATCTGTGATAAACTCAATTTATTTGATGATGTTGTTATCCATCTCCAGAGTTTTCTGCGCTAATCCTCAGTATCAAACGAAAAAATTTGTTATTCTGCATTAGCTAACAAGCAAGCAACCTTATGACATTTGCTTTTTTCAATAATTATTAGCAATTACTTTTCTTTCATGAATCAAGAAACAACAGAAGAGTCGTTTCAAATCTATTAACAGCTGCATAGAACATCCTTGTTCTGATAATTATAGCCAAGCACATCATTAATTTCGAGTATAACTTTTCTAAAATTCAACAAGCTACTTCTCTCTGTCTCTATAAATAAATAAATATATATAATCCCTATACACATGTATCTTATATATATATATATATATATATATATGTATATATATAAAAATATAAATAAAATAAAATATATAAATATATATAATCTCTATACACCTGTATCTTATATATATATATGTATATATAGACATATAATAAATATAATACATATATATTTACTAAAATTAAGGTTAAGACTGTCGTAGATACAATTGTTAAGACATATCACTGCATTTTCAGATTTGATCAGTTGTATATAAATATAATATATATATATAATTCAATTATATATATATATATATGCATATATGTTTGGGGCTGTCCACAAAAAATGAAAAGAAAAAGTCACACTTTTTCGGCGTTAATTAACCCGTTCCCCGTCATAAATTTGTGAACCTCTCCACGATGGATCAGTGGTCAAAGGGGCTTGGTCCTGTTTCGCAATGCGTGCTGTAACCAGGTTCGAATATGACAAAAGTATTCCCACCTAACACATACATGTATCGTGTGATGCGTAGTTTAGCACGTATACAGTTACTGTTCGTGTTGTTGATTCACCAGAACTTTGGAAGAAGTGTATAAGAACCTTTAGTATATGTTTGACCTCTTGAAAGTTACCATTTAGTTGCTAATTAAAACGCTTTGTTCAAATTATCAATACCAACATATGAATCATGATGAAAATTCAAATCATCCACCTCCAACATCAACGAATTCAAATAAAAACTTACATAGTAATATTGAAAGGTGCAAATTTCTCAGATGGGTAATAAACGCTCAGATTTTTCTTGACTTTTTTGGCAAACATTTTTTAAAAAAATTTTTTTTAATTCATAACAGAAATCGAAAAATTTCAAAGCAAAGCAGGAGATAACATGAGCTTCCACTCACCTCCCTCTTCTCATCAAGTGTCACAAAGTTTTCGAACTCCTCAAAGCATTACACCTTTCGTGGATGGTCCCTTAATTATTAAAAAAGCAGCACTTCCATGAAAAACGCTAATTGCAAAAAGGAATAACAACTCACTTACGCATGGATATTTTTCTTCAAATACGCATAACAGAGTCATTTTACATAAAATTGAATCACTATAAAATACTATTCGACAGTGTTTTTTTAAATTTGTAAAATAAAAACAGGAATAAAATAAGATTGAGTGCACAAATGATTGTAGTTAACGAGAAAAAGTAATAAACATAACGTACAATAATGTACAATGTACACAGCTACAACATGAGTGGTGGGAATTATGAAGCAGTTTTCAGTCGATATTCCAGTAACGTTTTAGTTAGTATGTTGGCAACCTCGAAGGCCTTTGTTGCTTCTTCTTCAGTGGTTATCAGTTCGTCGCTCTTTCGAAATCAAATTCAGTAAAACATATCCGATATCACAAAATAGAATTTTCCTGTAATTCTACGTCTACGAACTAACAAATACATTTTTCCATGCAATTAAATAAAACATTTACAATTTTATGTAACAAATTGTAGTAGTCCTCTTTCCCAGGATATTGATGAGGAAATAAATGTGAAATGAACAAACATTATAATATGATGAATTACGGATGTTCGTGTTTCACGTTCCACCAAATTTTAGAAATAATGAAAAATTTGTATGAATCACTAACAGTTATTTACAATTTGGTACTTGAAAATATTTTAATTGAAATAACGCTTGTTATACGAAGTAATGCAACCGTCAAATTAGTCATATGAATTTTTAAGAATATCTACAACTTAAAAAACCATAAAATGATTTTTGGAATAAAAAATTTTATTGAAAAAATAGTAAAAAAAAATAGTAAATACCATTTTAGAGAACATCTCACCAAGATTTTTGTAACCATATTGGAGCATAAGCCTGTTCAGGATAGATCCTATCTTTCAGTTTTAAAAAATAAGAAATGATTATTAAACGCCGAAACGTTATTTATAACGCATTGACAAATTAGTGAAAACTTCAAAAAACCCAGTACATTGGACACGTTCGACAACTTTGGATCGTCAAGCAGCAAAAATTTGGCACCTGCAAATGTGAAAGGAAATTCGATGTGAGTAAAATTATAGAACAAATGTACGCACGCTTTATGAAGGAAATAAATAATAATTTATGCATTAGTGTTATGACTGCCCAGTATCAACCAATAAAGGTAACATGTAACATTAATCATTAGTTAAAATGGGACAAATCAATGAACTTGAGATTAGTGGTATCTAAATCCGAATTTGAATCCAAATCTTGATGATGGATTCGGACAAATTCGAATCTGGATCCAATTTGCATACGATCCTAAAACCAAAAATTTTGTTTCAAATGAAGAAGTTTACAAAAAATAAAATTTGTCTTTGTGAACAATAAACTTGCGGCAGTTTTAGCTGAAACAAATCGCGAAATATCAACGAGTTTGTTTGTTAGTGTTTGTTACATAATTGTTGTTGATAATTAGATTTACTTTATTCTGCCAATCGGAAATTTTTTTCCTTCTTTAGGTTGATTTTGGACCCGTAAAATGCTGGATCTCAACTATCCAGGGATTCGGAACCATTACATTCCAAATCATTAGGTAACCATCATGCTTAACATTAAAATTAACCAAAAAATTTTTTAACTATTTTGAAAACCCATATCTGACTGACCTGGGTCAGTGCACTGACTGATCTGCAGGGGCCTCACTGCAAACTGAATCTTCTTCCTGCCTTCGTTACTTTCAATAATTCTTGAATAATCGCAGTACAACTTGTTTTGCTCATGAATGGGTGATGATACAATTTTGTCATAATAGGGCTTGTAATGCTTTTTCTAGGAAGCAAAACATTTCAACAAATAGTAAAAGAAATAAACAATTTTTGATCTGTAATAACAGATATAATTAAGATCATATTTAAATACACGTATTAACATGTAATAGATCTATTATAAATAGCATTAGGAGTTCAAAAGGACAAGTGTTTTTAAATACATGTTTGAGCACACAGCAGATTTTCATTGAAAATTTAAAATAAAAATTGCAGCATTTATTTTGTTTTCTAAATCTAATGTAATCTAAACAATAAAATGCAGACACAAATGAAATAAGAACCATGTAAGTGGATCGATGGTTTCTGAAAACCACATGGACGATGACATCATTCAACGACAAACCACAAGGCTCCTGGCAGAGTTCACACCAGAAATGAGAAACGTTGTCATCTTTCAGATTTTCTTTTATGCACTGCAAACCTAATAAGTGTGTTCAAGTAACAAAGCAACATGAATTGTATAAATTGCAACAAAATTAAATTTAAAAATTTTTATGGTGAAAAGATGAAAAGGTTAAAATGAAAGTTCTTCATAGACCTTTAAGTAAAAAACAAAAAAAATATCAATAAAAATTATAGCTTATTTTTTCAACTTTGCAAATGTAATTTTTATAATTTAGGAAGAAATTATATAACAAGAGTATTAATAATCAAATTTTATTATTATTACACCGATTTTAGATTTTATCATTAGATGTTATATACCAGCTTATCCAACATATATAAATTTAAATAACATACTTGTATAGGTACGATTAATTAATTTCAACAAAAACTTCTTTTGCAGAAGGTAGTTAAGAATATTTAAAATATATGTATTAGTTTTAATATATTTAGGTTAATTTCATTACAATATTACATTACTCACATTTTAAAAGTAAAGTTTACACTTACACAATAGTTAAAGTTAAACACAAAATTGAAAATATAAAAATAAATGTCTATGTTACTAAATTACTAGAAATTACATTATTTGTAATATTTACATACTTACTACGCAATGCAAAGATAATTTTTTCTTTACTAATTTTAGTAATTGAAACTCAAATTAATTTTAAATTGTTTGTGATGAGGTGATACAAAAATAAATACAATACAAATGTGATATATGACATAAAATAAATGTACATTGTTTGTATGTATTGTATTGTTGTATCATATTATTTTCTATAATTTATAATCCTTCTTTTTTACCAAGTCTAAGTTAAACTAATCCAACTTTACTAATTGAAAATTAAATTAATTTTAAACAACATATAATAAATAATGAACATATAAAGAAAAAAAACCAATTAGTGGATCCTTGCATCGTTCTATTTCTCTGTTGATATTGACAGTGTCAGCCGTCATTTCAAGGAAAGTTCACTCAGAAGACTGGCACAAAAAGACTCAACAAACCAACTCCAAGTTCAAGCACTGCAACTCAATTCACAGAATGAGTGAATTGTTGAAAACTTGTCAATTCACTTTTGCTTTTCAGACAGAGGAGAGGTTCGTTTAAATTACTAATCTTTAATTTTTATTATTAAAACCGCAACTTTGGAAGTTGAAGAAGTTGAAGACAGGAAAAAAAATTGTGATATAAAAACTAAATGTGCATTCCACATAGATCTATACATAATTTTGATTATTATTTTCTCATTTATTCATAAAGTTTTCATAGCGTTGATTAATTTCCAAAGTGCCATTTAATAAAAGGACAAATAAAATAAGATTAATAAAACAAATTCAAAATAATTTCAATTCTATTCAATTTATTTATTTGATCCAAACAGAACCATGGAATTATTAATGAACAAAACAGAAAAAATTTGTGATCGGGAGACCCGAAAGAAGAAAAAAAATTCTTTTAGTGGACCACCCTGGACAAGATTATCATCATCATAAAGATAACGTAAAATAAAAAAGAATAAATTATCCATGGGATATACTAACATTAAATAAAATAATGGTTTTATTACTCACAAATGAATGGTAAATTAATTAAATTGTTTTACATATGCGTATTAATAAGCTTAATTGATAATTAAAGTTATAATGATGTAGGCACATACATACACGCTCTTACACACAAACAATACGCACACACACACACACACACACACACAAACACACACACACACATACATACAAATAGGCATTCAATACACAAGTGGTACTATAATATTCTAATTATTATCATTATTTTAAATAATATTTTAAAGTAACATAATAATTGCCCAATGCCTTTAGCAAATATTTTCAAATGAGAGCAAATTAAATTTGATGGTAAATTATTCCAAACTTTAATACCAAAAGGTATAGAACTGTTTTTATAAGTTTTGGTGCGCCAGATTGTTAATTGATAGTCAAAATTTTTTCTTAATGAATAAGGATTCGAATATAAAAAGTTTAGAATTATATTCTTGAAAAATGGAAAATGATTAGTTATGACAATTTTATAAAAAGGGATGTTAATCGGACTATTGTTTTATGTTTAAGATTTTATTTAAATGATCGAACGATTTGGTAGAGTCGAGCCAATTTACTTTGTATAAAGTTCTTATGAAATAATTTTGGGTTTTTTGCAAAAGATTTATGTGGCAATTTGGACTGTTACCCCAAATTGCATTGCAGTACGTGAGGAGTGGAAATATAAGAGAATAATATAAGGTGATCAAGATACTTTTCGGTAATTTATATCTTAGTTTATATAATATACCGATAATTTTCGACGTTTTATTAGCTATATAAGTTATGTGTTCAGACCAATTTAGGTTGCTTGAAATAATTATTCCTAAAAACTTTGTGTGCATTTTAACAATTTTTAGATTAGAAATGTAAATAATAGAGTCGACCAAACTGGTATTAATTGTTGGTCCAAATAAAATAATTTTTTTTTATGTTAATTCTTAAGTTATTTGCTGTGATCCATTGATAGACCAGTTCAAGCTTACGATTACAGTCAACAACTAGATCAAATAAGTTTGTGCTTTTCAAAAGTATAGTTGTATCATCCGCATACAAAGTAAATTTAGCCAAGTTACAGCTAATAGTAACATCATTTATAAAATTATTAAACAAAATTGGTCCCAGAATTGAGCCTTGCGAGACTCCGCCTGATATGTTTAATGATTCAGATCGACAATCACTAATTTCTACAAAATGGGAGCGTTGACTCAAATAACTCCTGAACCATTGCCAGGGCAAACCTCTTATACCATAATGATACAATTTTGAAAGTAATATCAAATGGTCAATAGTGTCGATAATATACTGAACATAAATATAGTAAAAAAATAACAAAAATATAAACTATGAATAATTTAATAGTGCATACTTTAATACATAATTAATATAAACGTTATTGGATTTATTTATAAAGTTTATTTAGTTTATTAAACTTTAATGGTACTCCATAGTTACTATTATTTACAAATCCCAAATTATTTTATTTTACCAACGTCACTGGCGTTTTCAGCGTTTAGTGAATCTCTTTTAAAAAAGTGATTCCCTCAAAATAACTTTATTTTCCGATAATTTGAACCAGGACAAGACGTACAATATACTTGCAAGATTTGTTTTGTTTGAATTAAAAATATGGCGGCAATTTACTACAAAAAAGTTTTTGATCCTAGGCACATGTACATGTCCATCTCCCTGTGAGTTTTTTTAAAGTTTTTCTTTCTTTTGTGTTTTGTTATTTACTTTTTTTACAGAAAAAGTTTTACTTTCATTTTAGTTTTGAGAAATTATAATGACATTATGTTGTTAATGCTAATAACAATGATAACTATGTCATTTGGAATGCATTAGCCATATTAATCATTAATGATTAATTAATCTTTTTTTTAATCGACTTTATTTTAATCATTAAAATTTAATGCAAGCAACTGAAGCCCACTTGCTATGTCATTCTCATTATTAATTAAATTTTAAACCAAACAAATAAATGTTGCAATGGTTGAAAAATAAAAATAAGCAGAAACAAAAAATGTTAAGTTATGATTACTTTTATCGGATTTACAAACACAAAGTTAGTTAAATCAAAGATTTAAGTTTTTCTGTGTTTTAGTTATTTTTGGTGAATACAAAGTTGGCAAAATCGATGATTCAAGTTTTTCTATGTTTTAGTTATTTTTGGTATTAAGCTTTCAAAATTAAGCTAATTAGAAATTATTGAAAAGATATAAAATCAGCTAAACTTGATGTGATTAATTAAATAAATAATAGTTAATTTGAACTTTCCAGAACCTTTAAAGATTACTATGAAGATCTCACCTGTGCATTTTTCAAGTTGATAATTACTGAAGCCCTCGGTCATATGTTTGGAGAGGTTGTTTACGTTTAAATAATAGTTAGATCTTTCATTTTTCTAATTTTATCATATTTAATTATTTAAGTTTTATATGTATGTATGTATGTATGTATGTATGTATGTATGTATGTATGTATGTATGTATACAAGTTCTTGTATTGTTATTTTTCTGTTTACCTTTTATCTAATAAAACTAAAACATTATTAAATTTATCTGGTAATTAAAATGCTACATGAGATGAGATTGGAGAAGTATTTACAGAATAGAACTATCATTTCATGTTGGGTATTGAATATTAAGTGTCCACAGTTTCAACATTAAACTATAACAAATTTTCATACTTACCAACAAGTTGATCTTTGAAAAAATTCCAAAACATTCAACTGAAAGCTGATCAACTTTTAATATGTCGATAATCTATCATGGTCAGTCACAGTTAAAAAGATCTTTGAATATGTGATCTTTACCAGATATTTTGACAATGCCATAACAGTAAAATTGATGGTAGAGAAATTTTTTTTTCAAGAAAAGTGTAATTGACCTTTAACCATTTAAACAGCTAGTGAAAATTAAGCTTGAAATTTACAATTTAATTTTGTCAAAATAATTAAATAGATGGTAGTATTTTAAATTCATTTTTCTATTTATGTTCTTAATTTTTTACAAATTGATTTAATATGAACAACAGGCAAATTAATTAATATGAACAACAGGCAGAAAAGAGTATGAATATCGATGTCGTTAAATTTGTTCGAGAAAATGAGCACTACCATGCTATCATCAGGGTTCCAGCAAAGTAAGGATTTCTCCCGGATTATTTTTAAGTTGTTAATTCAATGGACTTTAATTAATTTAAATTTCATAATAAAGGTTTTTTATGTTTATACTTATTTTAAATCTTGATATTTACTATTTTTAATGGTTTTACTTTTTTTTAATGGTTTTGATTTATTTTAATGGTTTGAAATATTACAGTAAATTTTTGCAGCCAATATAGCAAATGCTTTTTTATGAACAAGTCATTTCAGAATGATTATTTTTTAAAAACAGAGGCAGGTGTTTATATTATAAATTGTAAACAGAATAACTCACGACGTCTGTTTAATAACAATTTTTCAAATGTTAATAACATTAGTTGAAACACCAAATGGTTAGTCATATTTATAACATAATTTTCTAATGGTTCAGGAAGTATCAAATAGTTTGGTCTTCCCTCGTTTTGATGACATCATGGCAGAACCATGTATGCATGTTCCACGTACATCAGGTTTCAATTCTTTTCTATTTATATTACCTTCATTATTTAATTGATTGAAAATTAACTTTCTTTCCATGCAGACGAGTTCTCAATTAATAAATTTGGCTCAGGATAGCAGGAGATATTTTTGAAAACTTTGAAAGTTGAAGATTGCCTAAAGACCAGTCACAACTTTTTGGCCATTCAGCTGTGCTATCGTTCAATTACTGAAACATCAACAACAAAGCTTGCATTGCAGCAATAATAATATAAAAAATGAATAACGTTTAATTCTGACATATTTCTTCTGAAAAAACAATATTTTTGTTGAGATAGTTGCTATAAATTATTATTTTTAAATAAAAAATTTCCAAATGTTCTACAACATTAATATTTTGTTTGGTCATTGACTTCGCTTATTTTCCGAGGCCGATATATTTGAGGCCAGATTGTCTTCTTTCTTTGCTTTTTCCTGCTCTGTTACCTTCTCTCTTACCAACCCCAATGTACTTCAGGCCCGAACCAGTTCTTCTTTTCGTTGCTTCTCGCTCTTCATTTTCTCTGAAGCGGAAGTTGCGTTCGTTATTTTCAGAGTTGTCGGAATAACTTGACAGTTGATCGAGTTCTGATTCAAATCTCTGCGGATAGGCTATGTCTGATAATTCTCCTGTGAGGTGTATGAAATGTACAAATAAATGAATAAACGCATTCAGGTGAAAATTTTGTTTACAAATATAAACAGTATAAATTAACGTGAGATCGTTTTACTGTTCTCCCTTGTTATACAGCGAGAAACGATAAATGTTTCTTCATGTTATGGTTTTGTGTACGTTTAGTTTAGAGTATTATGAATTAAACTCTAAAAAAATTCAAATTTTTCAAATTTATATGAAAATTTAGATTTCGATGCCTCAGCTTTAAAGTTTTTCAAATTTCTTAACTAATTCTTTTAAAATTGCGTGACATTCTTGAAACTCTGATTGGTCAGGAAAAAGAATGTCCACATTATTAAAGTTACGGTATGACATAACGCAGTCAATCGATGTTTATTTAAACATTGACGCGCATTTTTTGCTAGGTAACTTGTTTTATATTTATGAATTTTTGTTTTTTCATAGTTAAAAAATATGATTACAAGCTCTAGCAAATTCTGTAAAACATTTGCCACCGGTCCCTCTGGTGCTCGGGCGTGAAATGTATGCGTGAACTTGTGACTTCACGACCTTCTATGCCGCGGTCAGGATCAATTGCTACCAACCAACATCTTTTATTCATTTATTATTCATGTGTTGTCTCGACTGACAGATCATTAGTCGGGAAAATATTCATAAGCTCGCCGAACCACTTTCTCCAGGGTATAGTGTTGTTTCAAAGTTAAACTAGGTAAGTACGAGTTGAAATATTTTATGCAATTAAATATTTGTTCTCCGGAGATACGTGTGGCGTGTTTTAATTATTTCATGTTGTAGAATGCGTTTGGAATAAATGAAATCCTAAAAGCCTGTTAAGCTCTTTTAATGAAAGCTCGCTCGTTTAATATTAAAGCGCGATTATTTAATTTAAGAATAAACAAATTAAATGTTTTTGTTAAACATGGATTCATGCCCAAGTAATGTATAAAATTTTGCAAAATTTTCTTGCCGAAAAATCTGAAAATTTACTACATAAAAATTTTACTTTATGCTATATAAAGAAAATTTTGTATTTTATTTAAATATAATTTATTGTTTCAGATAATTTAGGTCTCAGAACAGAACGTTATATATCTATGAGCGACATGCTATTTTAAAATTCTAATATGGAAATAATTTTTAGCCTTAATGAAAATTTATTTGTGCCCGGCCGCAACAACGCGCTTGTATATGCAAATCGGCGAGATCACGCGCACATCTCAACTTTTTAGTTTCTTTTTAGACTCTCCGTTTAAAATATTTTAATGAACACATAAACCAGACGAATAGGTGAACATAAAACGTATATTTCTAAACTTATTTGTATGCCGGCAAATAAATTGGTGTTTATTTGCTGTTTATCTAGCAAATGATCGTTGAAGCAAATTAAAAATAACCAATCCATTTGTGACGGAAAAGAAATCGAGCTATGCATACTGCAGATGAAAACAAAATAAATAAAAATAATGAATAAAAAAGTCGCGACGATGACTCTCTAGGAAGTGACATTAGATTGCTTGACCAGCAAACAAAAAGCGGAAACATCCTGTGGAGGTGGAAGTCACGTGATGATGCTGATGATGTATCCGCTCATGCAATCAACTTCCGATCCGTCAAAAAGTTATGCAAAGAAGCATTAACAACTATAGCTCCGTTGAATGCCTCGTCCTTTATTTATATTTATGTTTAACTGGAGATATACAGTATGTATGGAACTGTGTATATTGCACTATATATATCTGATGCTATGTATTTGTATATGTACATGTACAGCATTTGTATATGTACAGTATTTGTTTAATATATCAATCAGTGTTTGTACATGCTGTATATATATATATATATTATTACAAGTCATTATATATATATATATATATATATATATATATATATATATACTGTGTCTCTACTCTACTTAGTTGATTCCTTGTAAATGATTAACGATCAACCGTTAGAGAAATCGCAAAGTTAAATAGGAAGTGAACTAAGACCAAACATGCTATGATTTTCTTCAAAAATTAAATTTCTGACAGTCTTAATCCAATATACATATATATTGGATATATAAGCTTATATATATATATATATAAGCTTATATATATATGTATATATATATATAAATGTAATTATTGATGAAAATCACAGCATTTTCGGCGTTAACTTCCAATTTAACTTTTAGATTTTTTTAACGGTTGATCGTAAATCATTTTCAAGTTTCTTTAGTTCAAAACTAAAATTTTTGTTTATTTTATGCATGATAGAACAGAAAAGCTTTTTCGGTATTCCTATACCATCATTCCATATAAAATATAATATTTTTAAAGTGTTATATTTTACCACGTTGAAGATTGTAAAACCAAATATTCACTTTAAACAAACAAGGAACCAAGGTTGAGGCTAAATTGAACAAAATCTTTGTAAAAATTTATAAAAATTTTGACTGAAAATCATTTCAGTTTCCATCCACAATTGATAAATGTTAAAATTTGATTTGAAAAGCAACATTTTTAATAATTGTTTGATAAGCCAAAAAACAAATTTTTGGCTACGTATGTTCATAACGTAGATTCATGAATAGGTAGGTGTTTCAAATTTAAGATGGGCTCCATTGAATGGAATGAACACTTAAATTTTCATGACGGACATAACGTAATGTGTGTCTGGACACACACACGTACACCTGGTTCGAATGCTTCATTATATTCAGTTGTTGATTGTTTATGCACACGCACAACCGACCAACTCCATTGTTCCAGCCGCCTGCTTCTTGTTTATAATTCAATTATAAATTCTACTCTGAATGTCATGCAAACTGAATGCTGTCGACGGCGATTAGTCGGTGACTTGAATGATTCGCACGTACAAAGGAATTTGTTTTGTTTTTTTGTTAACATTTGTTTCATAAGATATGTATGAGAAGAGATATTTATAAAATAGGAATTCATACGAGATGTATATGAAATATATACGAGATGTATATGAAATGTATATAAAATATATATAGAATATAGGTATCTGAGATAAATGTGATATTTGATATATATTTATACTCTAATAGAAGTTATCGAAAGAGTATAATGCGTCATCAGACATTTAAACTCAATAGGAATTCATTAAAGTGCAACTTATGAAGATATTGATGCAAATATTTTAAGCGTGGATGGAGTGAGAACAAAATTGATAAATTTTAAACAGACCATTCATCCGAATTACGTGTCTACATATGTTCATGTCATCTTAAAATTTGCCTCAACTAGGATAGCATGTTTGTAGTTAATTGTATGTATGTATGTGTTTGTTGAATCTTCATCAGAATTATGTATGAATATTACAATTTTATAATAGTTATGTATAAACATTGCACGGCTTCATAATATAGTTGTTGGCATATTATCATAATGGTTCATTGATAAGTTGTCCACAACCGAAGTCACATTGGCATAGGATCATAAAACAAGACAGTATCAAGCCTCATGGAACACGACAACAAGCAGAAGAAGAGAAGAAAAAGTTGCGTTAGAAATGAAGAGACGAGCTTGTTAATGATGATAAAGTCCAGCGTTCCCCATCTACCACCCCAGGCAATGGATGGCCGTGCAATGCAAACTGATGCACATGAAAGTGCGCGAGCAACTGATGCGCGTTCATCATCGTTACATGAAATGCTCTCCTACCATCATCGTCATCCTGCTATTTTTAATGCTATTAGCACACATGCACTATCTCCGCTTTTCAACACGTTTCTACTGGCAAACAAAACACTAAACAACTACACAATTAACTATCTTAATGGTTTTTTAACCGTAATTTTTAATTTTCCATTTTGTCAAAAAATTAACTTTGCAAAAAAATAAGTCTGTGTTCTTGAAAGTTTCTTGCAAAACAATAACTTTAATGGCTAAATATAATACTTCTATTCCGTGTTGTTCAATTGGGAAAATGAAGCAAAATTAAATTTTGTTTTTTCACAGGGCTTCAGTAGAGAGTAAAAATAAGGTACATGATCCAAGCTTGCTGAATATGGAATAAGAACGGTGTCAAGATTAGTGGCATAGAGAAATTAACATTGTGTGAACGTTTGTACTATCAAGTTTGTCAAAAACTCATCAAATTTTTTCTCTTCTGTTTTAACTGTTTCAAATAAATTGTTTCCAGAAATGATTTAATTTAATATTTTTTCTAATTTGATATTTTATTTAATATTTATTCTAAAATTTAAAATATGGAACGTTATCTGAACCAACAGATTTGATGTGTAAAATACAACATAAACTGTTTGTTCAAGTTGTTCTAATTTCATCAATATGAAAAGTTCACTGTGATCGGGCGGCATGGTGGTTTAAAAACATTTATAAAGATCACATTCCTTTCATCTATTCTTTCCTTTTTATATGCACACAGACTTTTATATATATTTATATATCTATATATATATCTTATATATATATATATATATATATATATATATGTATATGTCTGTGTATGTATATGAATATATATATATATATATATATATATATATATATATATATATATATATATATATATATATATTGGATTGAGACTATCTGATATAAAGTTGTTTAAAAATATCCCAGCTTTGCAAGCATTGTTCACTATGCATTGAAAAACTCAATTGCAAATATCGAACAATGCCTGAAATGCTGGGATATTTTTAATAAAAATATATACATAAAAATATATATATTGTTGTAATCTTTAACGCTCGTTACCACAGACACCGATGCTATAACTTCAATGATCTCTTGTTCGCATTCGTTTCATAACATTTTCATACTCATGCCTGTTCCGAATGTTTTCTATTTTTTATGGAGATGGACCGCTGTACTTCAACGACAATGACGTCATACAAATTAACTGTTCGCATGCATGATTGGTTTCCAGCAAACAAAATTATTGTTTCAAAACAATTCTGAAAATCAAAAATACCGTAGCATTTATTTACGAAAGAGAAACCAGATAAACAGGCAGAAATTATTTGAAAATATTTAAAAATATTTGACAAGACAGAAGAGAGGACCGCAGTTAGAAAATTTTCATATCTGCGACGAATAAAATTTTTGTTGGCAGGCTTGTCACTTGCATGAGCGGATATAAGTTTGTTTTTTGTAATTTCCTTTCTCCAAATTTACTGCCTCAGAAAGCAACTTCCTCGTCCCAAAAATCTAACAAAAATATATTTTCTGTGAAATTAAACTTTGACTTATCCATCTATAATTTTTTTATTGCACCTCACATTAATAATTATTACTTATCTATAATTTATTTTGTTGTTGTTAATAATTTATAAAAAAACCACTGAATATCGAAAAACTGTTACATTGAAAAGCATTTATGTAAATATCAATATTATTATAAAAACTTGCGGGTTAAATATTTTAAAGCTTGCCTGATATAATTATGATACCACAAAACAAAGATTATCTTTGATGTAAACCTACGCAATCCTATCTATAATGACTACATTTGGCTTCCTCTATGAACTCTTGATATGTGTGATCTGATCTAACTTCATTGACGTCCTTTCAATGTAAAATTTGAATCCTGGATTGTTATTCCCACTTTAGTGAGTTCTGTAGTTAA